CTCATCACTTTCATCAAGTGGGATCGTGGTCAATCTTATCTATCTATATATATAAAAATCAATTGCTGTTCGTTAGTCTCGCTAAAACTCGAGAACGACTAAACGGATTTATCTTATTTTGGTTTTGAAATGTTCGTGGAGGTTTAAAAGGTGAAAAAATTCCAATAATTGCGGGTAACTAATTAAGTTTTTTTTCATTCCACGCGGACAAAGTCGCGGTTGACAGGTAGTTCCATATAAAATAAAAGTTTTACAGTAATGTACTTCTGCTCAGACTATGTAGGTTTTCATATTTACCTCTGTAAATCGTTGTTACTTAGAAATAACTTCTGTAACTGTGGAACTTTTTGAAAACCGAGCAGTTTTCTTAATTTGTTCCGTTTCAAATTGAGTTCTCTTAATGACACGAGCCCTTGAAGATCTATCTGTCCAATGCATTTTATTTGATTTCCAGCCAAATTGAGAACTTTCAATTCATTCAAGTTGGATAGTCCATTAACTTTCGTGATCCTGTTTCCATGTAAATCTAGGACTTCTAATTTGACTAGATTTGACAAGCCTTCTATTCTTTTTATCCTGTTTAAATAATCAATTATTTTATAATTAACGAATAACGTTTGCATTTAAAATAAAGAGAATTCATTACGTAAATCGCTGACAACTGTACTTAGTAGACAAAGTATAAGTACAAAATAAAGAACATTCACACGATTTTAAAATATAATTTTGTATAAAAATAACTACATATATAATAGATTTTTATTTCAACAACTTCTATGACAATTTTACCTGTTCTTCCCCATCAATAAAACTCGTAAGCTAAATAACTTTTCTAGAGATGTAATTTTATCTATTTGATTGTCATATACGTCAAGGAATACGAGTTTGCCGAGCTCTAAAGGCATAAGACCTGATAAACTGTTAATTAAATTATGTTGCAATGATAAAAGTCGTAATGTTGGCTCTCCTACTATGTTAGGTATTGAAGATAATCCACGTCTGAAACATATCAAACGAAGATCTTTATAATATCCGATATTTGGTCATCAGTTTCTCATACTTATACTTTTTTTCGCTGAATATAAGTTTAAGCGTATTAATGGTAAATAATCAACCGGGAGGGCGGTAATAGAGCGTCGGTAGCTCAGGGGTTAAGCACTTGACTTGCAATCTGCAGTTCCTGGGTTTGAATCCCGCCATGTACCAATGTGTTTTTCGATTTACATATGTACATTTATCCGAAGTTGTTACGGTGAAGGAAAACATCGTGATGTAACCTGCGCATATCTTCAAAGAAATTCAAAGACATGCGTGATGTCAACCAACACGCACTCGGCCAGCGTGGTTGACTGTGGCCTACTCACCCTCAACTTAGGGTAAGCTCCGAGCCCCTCGATGGGGACGTATAGTGAGCTGATGATGATGAATCAACCGGGTGGGTTAATGGAGGCACCGACCCGCGTAATTTATAGTACCAAAAGGCAAGTCAGTACAAAAAAATATTAATCCATTTTTGTTATGTCTATTTCATATAATTTCATTCATTGATGTTTGAATAAATATTAAAATTGTTATTGTTTTCACTAAATGAGGTGACATAAATAAAATACAACGTAATACCTGTCTAGACTTATTCTATCAGGTAAACGGTCTTTTTCCTGTGGAGTTCTAGAAAGTTGGACCTTTCCCTCGCCCACAGCTTGCAAATTAAGTACATCGTCTTTGCCATCTCCTTTATTACCATAATCATTACTGTAATATAATGTTAATGTATAAAAATATTGATAATTGATGTTCAAATTTATTTATTTAGAAAATTAATATTTAGTAATAGCACGAATAGTAATGGCCGAATCACCCTTAACTTAGGGTGGGCTCCGAGCCCCTCGGTGGGGACGTATAGAGAGTTGATGATGATGAATAGCACAAAAATAATGTTACTTACCCTGTTAATATTGTACTGGATCGTTGTATTGCTGGATGGGCAGCCCTAGGGTCTGCTAATGCTGGTTTTATTTGCAGAAATAAACGATCATCGCCACTTTGCGGAGTCTCCACTCGCGGTCCACCGATATCAAGTGATTGTACCGATCTTCCTCTAGAGCGAAATGCTAACTTTCTTACCTGAAAACACACAATATGTACTAAATGATTCAAATCAAGAAAACAAAAAGAACCATAATCTTTGGTTGAAATCTTGTATACATTTCCGCGGCTAAATGTGATAGGCATTAGTTAAAACAAAAACAAAAACTTTCTGTAAATGTATCAATAAATTGGCCCCATTAGGAAAATCTCGTTCTTTTTATTGATTTAAATTCGTCCAAAAGGCAGTTTTGGTCCATCTCATCTGTTCTAGACACTTTCTAGATATAGTTGCTAGGCAACCCTACCGTGGACACCAAATTTCAAATTGTAGCTGCAAAATATGATTTTGTATCTATATTATCTTCATTAATATCATTTGGTAGCAAAATAACATTATAAAATGAATTTATGTTAAATTCCACCCTTTAAAAAAATAATGCTTTTTGTCTGGATTCAATAAATTCAAAGTTTGAAATATATGTGCCTTCTGTGATACGCTCCGTTTTAGGTTAAAACCTAAAAGTGGTTTAATTGCAATGATCTGTATAACAAATGGATATGTCACTGACCTCTTTAAATGGACAGGTTAAAAATGTAGTATTTTGTGTCTATTTGTTTTTAGCCATTTTGTCACTGAAGGTAAAAAAATAATTTCGAAAATTTCGAAGACATCTGATTAAGCCGATGATAAAATATCTATATTAATAAAAGAATTTCGTAAAGGAGGATTTTGCGGATAAGTGTTTTCGACACGTCATTTTACACAACTCACTATGTGTTATAGCCTCTCCATCAAAGAGTATATAAAATAATTAACTCTCTCTCTCTCGCTCTCCATTAACATCATATCAGTATGTTGAATACTCTTTGGTTGGAAGAATTCTTGAAATGACAGAAAATGAAAATCAAGAAAATTTGAAAAGAAAACAAAATTCTTTGGAATTCTCTCAAGTACAAACCTTGAAAAAATATTTTAAATAATTTCTTAAAAAAATAATCTCGTTTACGAAAATTTGTATTTGAGTTGTGTAAAATTGATGAACAAAGGTTTAAAAAAACTATTTTCGTTTCAAAATATATCTAAATTCCTGTATGCGTTTACTCCAAGTGCAACTATGGTAAGATACTTTCCAAATCCTTACGTCGAAGAAGGTATAGTCGAAAAAGAGCCTTCCCACGATGATCTCACGCTACAAATTAACGAGTACATTAAAAATATTACAACGCGATTGCAACCATCTAATAGGAATGTTGATGGAGGATTATACGTCGGAGTGACTGGGGTGTCTTATATGTTTTATTATTTATTTAAAAATCCCCTTTTAAAAGACAGCAAAAGTTTCTATATCGAGAAAGCTGTAGAATACTTACAACCGGCTCTGGACTGCTCCGCCGGGGAAAGAACGTCGTTTCTTTTAGGCGACGCTGGAACGTTTGCTTTAGCGGCAGTTGTATTTAAAGCGAAAGAGGATGAACGATATACTGACTTTATAAAAAATTACAAAGCCCTTTACAACCAATATCTTAATCCAAAGTTTTTGAAATGTGGGGGTGATGAATTTTTTGTGGGTAGAGCTGGATATCTTGCTGGGGCTTTATGGATGCATAAGGAGCTACATATACCAGTTCTGACTAGGGAAGAAATGTACAACATATGCGATGTGATGGTAGAATCTGGTCGTGATTACTCCATGAAGAGTAAGAGCAGATGTCCACTGATGTATCATTATTATAATACACAATATTTAGGAGCGGCTCATGGTTTAAGCTTTATCTTGCAAATGCTGTTAACTGTACCAGGGTACTTGCAGTTTAACACATCTGCTGAGAAAGATGTGAAAGCTACTGTAGAATATATAGCTTCACTGCAAACAAAAGAAGGTAACTGGCCTTGTTGCATGGAGGAGCTCGTTTTAGATGATCACAAACTGATACATTGGTGTCATGGAGCTCCAGGCACTGTGTACTTGATGGCCAAAGCTTACCTTATTTTTCATGACCAGAGATTCTTGGATTCATGTATAAAAGCAGGTGAAGTTGTATGGCAGAAAGGTTTGTTACGTAAAGGTCCTGGTATTTGCCATGGAATAGCTGGCAATGGTTATGTATTCTTGCTGCTGTATAGATTGACTGGAGATGATATTTATTTGCACCGTGCAAAGATGTTTGCAAACTTCATGAAGAGTGAAGTATTCATTAGAGATTCAAGACTACCAGATAATCCTGAAAGTTTGTATGAGGGTATTGCGGGAACTGTGTGCTTTTTATCTGATCTCTTGACACCTGAAATTGCTGAATTTCCATTTCAAGATGTGTTTTCTAATTTTAACCAGTAAACTCATTAATTTTTTATAAAAATAAATTTAATTTATAACATGATTCTCTGCACATTTCTGAATGCTTTTTTCTGAAGCACATCCACAAGATTGATTGTTTTTATTTGCTAGTATTTTAGTTTAATTTGTTTGATATGTTCTGGAATGTATTTAAAATTGTACTTTTAATTAAGAATTATGTAAGTTCGTTTTCTTTTTCCAATTCAAAAATCAATGTTTTCTAAATATAATTATTTTTGAAAAAAAAAACAACATGATTTTGATAACTGAAACATAGTGTAAATGGTTCTAGTATGTGCGTTTTTGTTTATTATTTTGTTGAATAAATGTTAAATTATGATTTTTTTATTTCATTAGGTAGTCTAAATAAATATGAACTATTACTTGTCAACGTTGAGCTTGTCCTTTAAAAAAACAACGTCAATTATACTGCCAACATATCCCTTAACCAAAGTCAATGCATAATTTGTCTTTTAAACTTTTACATGATATGTGCTGACAGTAATTGCTGATACATTGATAGCTGACAATTTTTCATAGAAAATGCTTCTATAAAATGCCACGTTTGATATTTAAAGTAACAGTATTTAACAATTGCAATGAATATCATAGCATTAAAACTATTGCTTACAATTTTCCCGCATTTTTCTTTAATTGCACAGATATTTAAAAATAATTTTATTCAAGATGGCGTATTTATTCATTGTCATAATAATTCGCAAGTAATTGTACTGCAAAAAGCATTTAATGATGCTGGAATAAAAATGTTGGCTGTAAAACACGATGACTTTAATAAATATAGAATTGATATTAAAAAAATAAAAATTGGAATAATACTGGATGCATCATGTAAAGGATGGATAAATGTGTTCCAAGCTTTTTTAAATTCCAACCATAGTAGAATTCATTGGATCATAAATACTAACAATATAAATTCAACGACACAAATTTTATCTCAATTGTATCTTAGAATTGATTCGAATGTTTTATTAATTCATAATAATAGCAAAGGTATTAATTTGCACGAAGCTTATAATACAGATTATAAACGAAAAGGTAATTTCGTTGTTCGTAATGTAGGATTTTGGAATTCATCTTTATTTACGTGGAAACAAAGTCGTAATTTACAAGGTGCGACATTGAAATGTGTATCCGTTATTACCGACCGTTTGAAGAACGAAACTTATATGCATTTTCTCGAACAATCGAGACACGACAAGACGGATACTTTGCACAAATTAAAATTTTATACGGTCATTCGTTACTTACAAGATATGTATAATTTCAGGTAAATGTTTTTTTTTTACTATCTGTATCAGGGATGGTGAACCTTTGCCTATCAACATGCCATTTTTCTAAAGAAAAGTTTAATAAGGTTACAGACTTGCCATCAAATAATTTTGAACACACTTTTATTCTAGTGCAAATTGGATTTTTTGTTAAGTGACGTATCCTAAATATTATATGATAACGAAATTATGCACAGCTTTGTACCCAATAGCTTAGTATGAATACAATTATATTGGAAGACTAACTTTAGCAGAGCATCTTTAATTGATTTCTTGAAACTTTACATTTTAGTGTTGAAGTGCAGCGTACTAACTCGTGGGGCTATTCGCACAACGGTAGCTTCGATGGTCTCATTGGTGCTCTGCAGCGTCGGGAGGCAGAGTTCGGATGTTCGCCAGTCTTGTTCAAAATAAATCGCGCCGAAGTAGTCGACTATGTTGTCCCAACGTGGCAAACAAAGTATAATGTGGCTTTTATAGCCGGTACCAAAAGCGGTTTAACAACAAATTAATATTAGAATTGTTATGTATTTTATATTTTTCTTTCCTTACCAGGCACACATTTTTATTCCGCCAGCCAAAGTATCAAGCAAGTTATTACTCTGTGTACACTCGCCCGCTAGATGGCGTTGTTTGGCGTTGCATGTTGGGAGTTCTCTTGGTTGCAGGATTAACTTTGAACTTGATATTAAAAGTAAAAAAGACGAATTTTTTCATTGACGGAAGAGATTCATCTCTGAGTTTAATATGGTTGTTAATTTGCAGTGCTGTTTGTCAACAAGGTAAGTTTAAACTTAAGAACTTTTAATTGACAGTTGACGGTTTCGTATTAATTTAGACCTCTAGCATATTAGTTCTAATATATATTTATTAAGGTATGCCGGTAAATAAAAATGCTGTTTCTGCGAGAATAATAATATTTGTGACATTCATGTTCTCAATGATGGTCTATCAGTTTTACAATGCGAACGTATTGTCGAGTTTGCTCAACGAACAGTACTCCTACATACGTAACCTCAACGATTTGCTGCACAGCGATCTAAAAGCTGGAGTCGAAGATATGCCATTCAATAAAGATTACTTTAAGGTTTGTTAAAGGATTAATTAAAATTTAACAAATAATATTTACAAAAGCCAATAATTTAAAAGCATGTTTTATACAAAATTCTAAGATGAATGTTTAAGTAGATGTCAAATGGGCCCAATGAGGGTCAAGGGAAGCGTAGCAAAAATTTGTGCGTTTTTCATAATACAACACAAAACTAAATATTATAAAGCTATATTGATTTTCAGCGTACAACAGACCCCGTATCCTTAGATTTGTATAAAGCTAAGATAGCCACAGACAAGCACTATAATTTCTTTGACGCGGAGTACGGTATGGGACTGGTGAAGCGTGGCGGCTTCGCTTTCCATGTTGACACGTCTGCAGCATACGCTGTCATGAGGAAGACGTTCTCTGAGCGAGAGATATGCGAAGTGGGTGAAGTGCAGCTGTTTCCGCCGCAATATGTAGGCGCTGTGGCGGTCAGAGGTTCCCAGTATAGAGAGTATATTGCTGTTGGGTGCGTATATATTGAATAGTAGGAAATCAGCGTAATTAAGTTAGCTCTTATGCCTATATAATGATAACACTAGATTAGGTGTAGGGGCTAGGTATTGGGCAAATCCGCGTCTAGGGCGGCTTTTAGAAACATCGATATTACGCTGTCGAGACAAAAAAATACTTTTGAAGTGCACATGTTATGCGTCTTTGTAAGTTTTAATTATTATTTAACTAGTGAAGTTGTACTTACTACCGTTTTTAATGCTATCTTCTGTTTCCAGAGTTAGTAAGCTATTGGAAACTGGTCTGATGAATAGAATCAAATCAATCTGGGAGAGTCGCAAGCCGCCGTGCGCTAAACAACGTTACAGCACTATTATGGCTGTTAATATTCGAGAATTTTCTATGGCCTTACTATTTTTATTATGGGGTTGTATGTTATCTTTGTTTATTTTAATATTGGAAATCTTTGTGCATAAAATAAAACGACGAAATATGGGTAGGACACACTTAAAAAAATTAAAGCCATGGGGTGAAACTTATAGTTCATAAACGCTATCTAAAGAAGAAAATCACTTTTTTAAATTAGTGATGTAGCAGATATAAGTGTAGTGTAGAATTTCATTCATTATATTTCGTTTGTCAGATGATTTGATTTTTTATTTATTTCTGCTGTTTTATCTGTATAAATTACTTTAAAAAAGGTTTAAATAAAACAGTCGTGGGCATTTTCATTTTGTTTATTTGTTGGATAAATATCTCCCTCACAGTACACATGACTTCAGTTCTCAGGCGCGGTGAAAAATTATAAACTTCAAAATAACATCAGCTCTCACTTCCATATTCCACAGGTATATGCAAATCGGTTTATAATAACTAAATCTTGCAAATGCCATATCATTGTATTTTATTTTTCTACATAGATGAAGGTAAAGTTAGTTTTAAGAAAAATGACAATCCGTTATCTTCAAAGATGTTATTTTTTACAATACTTATTTTGTAGAATAACATTTTTTTGGTTAAATTACATAGTAAAATGTGTCAATGTCAAACGCGTCTACGCGCCTAAATAAAAAGCGCGCGAAATAGGCAATTGCAAGTGAATTAATGTTGCCACTTGCTCTGTTCGTATTTTGCAAAAAAAAAATGTATATGCAAATAACTTTTCAATACAGCCACAACTTTTCAAATTTAAATCACCGTTTATTTTCTCGTTTCAATTAAACCTAATTTTTATAAAATAGTCATAAATTCACTAATATTTGTGATGAACATTGATTAATTGATGAAATGTTCATTTTCTATACAATTTTTTTCGATAAAAAATTCATGAATGACGTTTACGTTATTTAAAGATGCCACAAACAAAAATCCAGCTCATATACAAATCTTTTGTTTACACATTGGGATAATTGTCTAAGTGCGAAAAAAATAATGAAAAACCATTTAGAGATCGAAATCATATCCATTTGTATTTAATATTCTAAAAACAGTTACACACCCTCGTCGTTAAAGTTTGAATAGCATAGATATTTTTTTATTTATACACGAAGTAGAAAAAAATACAGGCCTCTTGGCTATGGTTTATTTATTATCTGTTATGATTATGAACAGTTGACTTGTGTCTTTTAGGTTCTTAAAAACAAAAACAGTTCATGCAAAGGAATTCGATTAAGACATATAGATGGGACATCACTAGAAAAAAAAAACAATTTAAAATTTATTTTATATTAATGTTATACATTTATCACTCACAACAAGACCGTTTTGGCAGATGATTTTAGTGATACGAATATTTTCATGTTTTTTAATTAATAAATATTAAAATTACATCATCATCGATAGCTGTCAAAACGTGCGTCTCGATGTGATTTTCGACTGTCAAAATATTTGTATAAAAACAAACCTTTTGAATACAGAGTTAACTTTATTACAAATTACAGGGCAATAAAATTTCAAGGTTATATTTTATGATTAAAAATGTTAAATACTCATTTACAATCTTTTTTAGGATTACATAAAAATAAAATGAAGGCGCGGGATTTCTTTTATAATTACGTCACAAATATTTACATCGATGTTAAGGTCTAGAACAATCTGGAAACTGACTACGCATGTTAGAGCGAGATAAACATATCTCAAAGATGCGACAATGAGAGAAATATGTTTTTCTTATAAGAAAAGTTAAAAATAAATTCCTACTAATCAAAAAAAAATAATCTATTGGTGATTTTTTTTATATATAAATCTGATTAAACAGCAAATACTTAATAAGACATCGGTTTTAGTTACCAACACTGTAAATACCAAAGGAACGCTTTATAAACGAAACAATATAAGTTTTAGCAAGTAAATCCCGCGCCTTTGACAAGAATAGATTGATGTGTCAAAGATTGTCGACGCACTTGTTACATATTGTCATCTCTGTCATTCCCTTTGGATAGACAGAGACGGCAATACAAGTGTGGCGGCAGTGGATTTTATTGGAATGGAAATTTGTAGATATCGAATAGTGAAGTGGGCGTTGTTAGAGTTGGCCTTCACCGCTCCTCCAGCATTATCGTCTCTTGCGGGTACAACTTTAACGCTTTCAGAGTACTGCTGTGAGATTCTAACGTTAACTGTCAAAGATAAATAACTGTCAGATGCTGTACATTTTTATTGCTATATAAAACATATTGTTGTCTCTTTTTCTCTCGTAGAGGAAGAGCGAGATGACAGTATGTTTTCATTGTTATAGCTCAAATAAACTTCTAAAATTATCTTTTCTATATATAATATAAATAAAATATACTCACGTCTCTTCTAGGCCAGCTAGAGATGACTTTATAGTTTTCTTGTGGGTAACCTTTCGATGCGAGGAAATCTAATAACGCCTAAAATTAAAAAAAAAGTACTATTACTATTGAAAGGGAAATGGTATATAGAGCAGTGTTGACTATCGTGTATAGTCAAACCTGGATAAGCGAGAGCCCAAGGGAACTCAATATTTTTTTCGCTTATAGAGGCCGTCCGTAAGTATTGAACAATGACTCTCGCTTATAAAGGTTTCCCTCTAACCAGACTTTCTCGCATATGGAGGGCGTGACTAAACTCTCGCTTATAGCGGTTTCTCTCTAACACGAGTTTCTAGCTTATAGAGGTTTCCCTCTAACCGGAGTTTCTCGCTTATGGAGGTCGTGCCTAAACTCTCGCTTATAGCGGTTTCTCTCTAACACGAGTTTCTAGCTTATAGAGGTTTCCCTCTAACCGGAGTTTCTCGCTTATAGAGGTCGTGCCTAAACTCTCGCTTATAGCGGTTTCTCTCTAACCCGAGTTTCTCGCTTATTCAGGTGTGATTATATGTGTGGTATACTGACTGCGAGCGTGTCTGTGGCATAAAAGCGACGCTCGAGGCTGTCGTGATGTGGGGGCGGCAGACGCACGCGGATCCGTGACACCTCCGCTGATTCCTTCTCGTCCGGCTCCTGAGGCACGCGCGCCTCCGCACCAGCACGCAGCTCCTGCACACACCAACATACAAACACACGTAATAATATTATAAATGTCAATGTTTAGATGGATGGATGTTTGTTAGAAGGTATCTCCGAAGCGGCTCAACAGTTCTTAATTAAATTTGGCATACAAATAGAACATAGTCTGGAGGGACACATATTATTTCACTTGCATTTATGTACATTAATGTACTGAGTACGACGTAATGACTGTAATCAAGTAATGGACTGAATAGACAAAAAAAGTTGATATATTCGTACCTCTTTCCTTGCTTCCTCTATCAATCTTTCAGATTCCGCTCGTTCTAGCTCCTGTTTTATTTCTAATTCTTGTTGCTTCTTAAATTCTTCTTTGGCTCTGGAAACAAAAATAATATTTTGACAAACCTACTGCGTATTAAACCTAATTTATTTATATTTTGTTAACCCTTGAAATTTTAGGAACAAGATTCGTGTGATGTATAATTTTAAAATAATATAAACTTAGACTTTGTTTCCACTGTATTTAAACTAGTGTATAAGTACCTGTCTGCCTCCAGACTGCGCTGGTAGGCCTCATCCTGCTCTCTCTTGACACGCTGGCGGGCGTCGCGCTCTCGCTCCAGTCGCGCGTCCTCCTCGCGCTGAGTCGCGAACCGCTCGATCGCTTCCACCAGCCCTCCCACCAGCTCTGACACGCCCACGTTTCCTGCAACACAATTTTATATGTCTCACCCATCAAAGAGATCACATATTCTAGCAAACACAGAATGTTTATATCTTATTACAATCTAAAGTTAAATAATTTATATACAGTCGACTTTGGATGAGCAATAGTCATTGTCCTGATAGACGACCTCCATAAGCGAGAAATTTCGGTTACAGAAAAACTTCTATAAGCGAGAAATTCGAGTTAGAAAGAAAGCACTTTAAGAGAGAAATTCGGCTTAAAGAGAAAGTTCTGTAAGATAGAATTTCGGGTTCGAGAGAAACCTCTATAAGCGAGAAATTCTACAGTCCCTTGATCCCTCGCTAATCCAGGTTCGACTGTATATGTTGTACTGACCATTAATAACAGAATATATTTCTGTATTGGAGCGCATTCTCATGATGATGAGCAGCGCGGGCAGCCGGTCCACTGGGATGCTGCGGATTGTCATGCTCGCCACTGGACCCAGCGCGTTTGCGATCGAGTTCAATAATCTGCATACAACATGATAAACATATTCAGTACCACTTACCGTAGGTTCCTGAGACCCGTAACTGGGATGACGATATGTTTTATAAAGATATTTTGTCTCAGAAACCCACAGTTACTCTGTGGACAAGTTTAAAAAAAGCAATATTTATTAAAAATTTTAACAAACCTATGTGAACAGTTTTACATCAAAACGTTTCAAAATAAATTTACAAATCTGTATATTATATCGAAAAAAAGAGATGCTGATAACGAAAAATCAATTTTGAAATGTTTGTCAGTCTGTCAGCAATTCCGGGTTTGTTCCTGGTATTCTCCGAAACCGCTAGATTGATTATGACAGTAATTTGACGAGAAGGCAGCTGATGCACGGGTATATTACCATTTTCTGCTTCGAAAAAGTCGGGGGCGACCGCTAGTATGTAAAAATAATTTCTTATTTCTATGAATCGATGTATTATGTATGTAGGCACGTAATTTGGAAGGGTACGTACATGTTGGTGTTGTGAGGATGTGTGAGGTCCCAGCCGTACACAAGGAAGTTGGCGGCGAGGGTCTGCAGCACGGTGTCGCAGCCGAGCAGCTGCGCGCAGAACACGTTCGACAGCACAGACTGCTCGTGGTGCAGGTATACACCCAGCAGCTTCCTCTGCAATACATCAAGAATATATCTTACTAACAGTAGATTTCGAAAACCAAAATCTCTTCTTTAAAATTTTGGACTCTGTTTTTTTTTTTAATTTCACAAAATCTAAATGTAAATTGGCGAAATATGTCATGTCACAACCACTTGGACGGGTCAAAAATCATGTGAAATGTGAAAGTTTAGATGGATGGATGTTAGAAGGTATCTCCAGAACAGCTAAGCGGATCTCGGTGAAATTTGGCATATATGTAGAACATAGTCTGCAAGAACAGGCTACTAAGATTTTGTTAAATTTCGGTGTGCGGAGTCCTGGGCGACAGGTAGTGTGTAATTTATTGAGATGTA